CTAATGAATATGAAAGAATATAGAAAACAAAATGAAATAATAATTATATAATTGGAGAGTAAAATTAAACATACCAAAGATGAGATTGTAGATGGATATGAACATCTCCAAAAAGCTACATGCACTGAAGCTTTAACCATTAATAGATTCTTATAAAGTTACAGGTTTCACTTCTCAGATCCGGTTATCCAAGCCTAAATTTGTGATATTTGATTTCGATTGAATGTCTGTCTTTATTCATCTTGTATTTCATTGATTTGTTTTAATGTTTTGTGACTTCAGATTCTTCTAGATTTATAGACATCGTGGGTTAAATATCACAACGGATTTAATATCAGTGAACGAGAGAAGTGATTATCCCTAACGAAAAAGTAATACGAAGGAAAATTAAAAATCCTGCTGTGACAAAATTAGAGTATTTCTTGCTTCCCATAAAAAGAAGTTTAATTAATTATTTGGAATTTTTGCTACGAAAAATAAAAAGGATTTACAACTGACGATCGTTAAGAGAGAATAGGAGTTGAACTTGTAAATTTTACAAGTTTCAGCTACTGTAAATTAAAGTATAATTTAATGTAAAATTATTTCTTAAAAATCAGTATCTTTACAAATGGCATTTGCATATAATTACGATCTGGTAGAACGAAGGAGAATATCAGATTTGTAGCTGGAAAAATATTAAGCTGTTGTAAACATTAATTAGAATAGGAGAATTAAGTAGTCTAGACATTCGGAGTGAACACGAAAGGAGAAATTGTGACGAAGGGCTACAAATTATCGCTGGATGTGTTCAAGCCTTTTGGCGCCAGAAATAATGGAATTACTTGAAACAAATGTGTATTACGTTCGTAGCTAAAAGAAATAATGTAAACTGTCAAGAGAGTAAAAATGTTTCAACGCAAATTAGACCCAACAAATTTATGAACTGAGGAAATACGCAGACCAAATCGAAATAATATATCTGTGAAAACCTCCACTGCAAGTGATAAGTTTGACATGCACGGTTAATGAAGAAAACACGAACGGATCATAAACTATAAATATCAAAGATAGACGATCAAATATATTATTATTATTAGTGTTCTGTCTGACGACAGGGCCATATGAACAGGATCCTTCCATCCTTTTCGCGGACTGGGACCTGTTCATATACGTTCTTGGCAGATGATCCAGAAGGGGTTTGCCATTGCCTTCTTCTGTGTGTGAATGGAGTAATTGTTGGGATGCCACGGAGGAAACCTCCGTGTTGCCTAGACCCCGGCCTTGCCCAACACAAGTTATAAATTCGGGCACCGCCGGGAATCGAACCCGAGACCCCAGGATTACAAGGCCAGCGTTCTAACCGCTAGACCGCCGTGGCTACGATCAAATATATAAATAAAAAAAAATCTAGAATTTAATGTATAATATCTCTCAATAAAATGATTTTTCAAAACGTTTATTCGAATAAAACACAATTTTGAATGGGCGTTTGCTAACTATGACCCAGATAACCTTTGTAAACGTGAAAAAATACACCAAAAACACTGGATAAATGCCTTGGATGTGACGTATTTGTACATTCTATTACTTTTTTTGCAAATATCGTTTATCGACTGAATGTTACACTTGACTCTTGTATCGCCAGATATTCTTCCACGTCTGCAGAGATTCTTCTTAATGATTTCGTTTCTCTGGTTAAATTCATTTATTCAGTCATTTACGTATATCTGTTGTGTTAAGTTCAGTTTCGGCTGAGCACGTCAGAACAGAGAGCAGATCTGTGTAATTTTTCATCTTACTCAGTTCTGTACATTCTCACGTACTTTAATTTCCTTTCCACACGTACACATTGGTACTACTTTCGTGCGTGACCATCACAAAACACTGTCACACAATCTAATGTCTACCCCTGATGACAAGCAACCAACATAGCACGTGAGCTCTACTGAGCTGCCTACCACGAAAATATATAATTTTTAGTGTGAGCGATGGTGTTCCTTATCAGTCGGAATCCCAAAATAAATGACATCGTTTTGGAGACTTGAGTGCAGATGGGAGGATAATATTAAAGTAAATCTTAAATAAATCTTAAGGAAGCTTAGGACCAGTAATAGTCTCTTCCAATAGATATAATTAACTGGTTTTACTGTTTTTTTAAAGTCCGGCGACTGAGGTTAGCTCTTTATAATAGACCCAGCAAAGTATCTGATTGTATCTGTTTCATGTATAGACGATAAAAAAAAAAGTTTCCGAACATTTTGTTCTTTTAGGAAAACCAGTCAGTGGACAGAGTTCAGAAACGCAAAGAATCAAATTAATATAACATCTCCATAAGCTTTGAAAAGTTATCGACTCATCTTGTTCCATAAATGAAGAATTTACTTATCATCTGAAGGGAAAAATTTGCTCTCAAAAATATCTGTTTATTATTAAATGAAATTCTATTGTGACTTTGTTGTGGATTCTGGTTTCGTGGCAGATAAATATCCTTTCGAACAGAAAAACTTCTGTCCTTATCTTTAGGTTAGTTCAGTCCCGAGTCTTGAGAATCGTGATTAAAGAGATTAGGCAGTCTCGAGGAACGTTCTCATTAACACCAAGTGCACGACGTAGGATCCTGTGATAAAAGCGATGTGACATTAAACGACGCTCCTGTTTCTAGACTGGACCCGCGTCCTGTTTAATATTCCACCACAGTCCCCACAACAGCCTTTCTGGCCCACGAAACAAGTTTACAGTCAGAACAGAATTTTCAGCTAACAAATAACACGTCTACAGATTTGGTGAGGAGAGAAATTTATTGCTGTCAGGATTACAGTAAGTTTAACTTTATTATTATTTTTACGCTTTAACATTATGGTATGGTAGATGTAATTAATACTATAAAAAAATTTTTTATTCCAAACAAACAAAACAGAAGATTTTATTGAATTAACTCTGCTGCAAAATATATTTAATTTATTTAACATCAGCTTTAGGTACATGTTTCAGAGTGTGATTTCAACTTCACGTACTTAAACCAAGTAACAATTACATTATTTTAGTAGAGCCAACGTAATAAAATAATTTTTACCTGAGGCTTCCTAAACTTTGTGGTGTACAATTATAATATTACGCCGTCAGCATTATATTTAATACATTAAATCACTTTGCTTTGACAATTAAAATGGATAAACGAATACGAATTTGGATCACAGTCTGAAACATTAATCTCTCACTGGTATTTATTTAATTATAAAATTCTGGGGAATATTTAGTACAAAACAATTCTCGGGTTTATAGAGAACAATTTTTATATTATTAACTTTATTAGTTGTATAAATTTTATAAACAGGGATGCCACAAACTGTATCGTGACTAGCAAACGAGTGTGATACAGGGGGTCTATTTGCCACAACGTTCGGGCCAGCCCTGGGGCACACCAAGCCT